TCATCAATCATCAATCATCAATCATCAATCATCAATCATCAATCATCAATCATCAATCATCAATCATCAATCATCAATCATCAATCATCAATCATCAATCATCAATCATCAATCATCACCAAAATGTTCCCCAAGACCGTCCTCACCCTCCTCCTCACCCTAACCTCCGCCCTCGCCTCCCCCCTCGAAACCCGCCAAGCATCAACCTACTTCACCCCTTCTGCAACCTACACCTACAACACCCGAACCGGCGCCATCTCCCCAACCTACGGCACCGGCGTCGTCTCCAAATCCACCGCCAACGCAGGCAACGATCTCACCGCCCTCCTGACCTTCACCTACCCGCCCGCCGCCGCCGGCAAAAAGTGCCAGTTCTACTTCTACCTCGACGCCGCCACCTCGAGCGTCTCCGGCAGCCGTAAGCTCGACGTCTTCACCTCCCTGAAGCCCGCGCCCGCGGGAGGATCGCCCGGCTGGGGCGCGGGAGGACCCGGGAACCAGCGGAACGTGAATATCGGACGGTTGTCTGTTGTTTTGGGCGGGTATGCTACGTGGGATGCCACGTACGGGGCCTACCTGACCGCGCCGACGGATTGCAAGGCCCCAGGCACCGTGGAGGGGTTCGAGCTTGTTGGTGTCAATGATAATGATTATGTTTCGTGGAATACGCAGGTTTCTGGGGCTCGAATTGCTTACTTCTGAGCTGCTATCTTCTTGGAACGAGGATGAGTGTAGGGGTGCGGGTGGTGGGAAGGAAACACATTCGATTCTTCGTCATTCACTTAACCTTCTTGTGGCATATTCATAGTTGTCGGAGATGATTCTGTCTGAGCTTGCGTTGTAGAGAAGAGCGTCAGCTATGCTTTCCCTTACACTCCTTATAGCATATCATATATTTACCGCCGAATTATGGCTTCGATGCTTTGTCTGTCTATCAACTTATTTCTCCCTACGTCGCTCAACAGTGATTGCCCAACGGCGGTATTCAAACTCAATGCCTACCCGGATTCATTCGCGATGGTTTTTATTGATCATGCGAGGGACCAGAGCTTTTCCATCACCATGTCCTGTAATCACGAATCTACATCCCTAAACATGGGGCATCTTCTTAGACCCCTCTTACTGTTACCGGGTTGTTCTTTCGTCTGGTGTCATCATATCCCCCACGCGTTGGCCATGCCCTTGAGAACCTTGCAGTCCCCCTTGTGCTTCTTCCAATCTTCCTTCTGGCATTCCTATGTCATCAATCATCGTCAGCACATCCGCAATACAACATCACATCCACTGACCTATAAGCAAGAGACGGGGCAACAGCGCGGGAAAGACGAAGACTCACTTTGCCACAATACCTCACAACAACACAAGCAGTACAACTCTTCAACGTCTCACCCTCCCCAACTCCCTTCCCACACCCAGCACAAGCCCTCAACCACCTCCCGCCATCCTCCCTCACCCTCGCCCCCAACTCCCCAATCTGCTCCAACCCGCCGGGGATATACTTCACCCCCGTCCCCTTCCCCTCCGGCACCCTAACAAACCCCCTCTTCCCGCCCTTGGGCGCCGTCCTCACCCCGCGCGGCACGACAATCGTCCAGCCGCCTTTCACGGGCCGCAGATCGATCCCGCGGTCCTCAAACGTGACGGCGAACTCTGTCTGCTGGCGGTCGACGACCACGAGCGTCGGTTTCGTGATGGTCATGTTTTGTTTTACCTGCGCTATGAGAAACCATTCCTCCCGTGCGTCGTGGGAGGACGGATGGAGAGATGGTCTCGCGACTGCCGTGAAGGAGGAGGATGAGGATGAGGAAGCGGATGCTTTGGCGGAGCCGGAGCCGGATTGGGAGTCCGTGTAGGATGGCGGGTCAGAGGGCGTCGGTGCGTAGGAGGGCGGCTCCGAGGATGCGGCGTAGGAGGGTGGATCGGCGGCGCCGGGTTCCTCAATGGGGAGGCCCTCAAAGATTGGGAAGATTGCCTCGTTGGCAAAGTCCGGGATCGGCATGCTGACTGAACTGTGGTTGTTTTCGGTGCCCAATGTGGATGTGGCAGGGATTATGACAGGACCAATAAGACTCTTATTAAAGGGAGAAAATAGGATGCCCAATCAATATGAGAAGAGAAGGCCAGAATGAGCTAAATTGAGAAGCGTTGTCAACAATAGTGAGTGAGTTTCAGTGAGAGGTTGGATGAGGGAGAGTGTGAGTGAACGATTGATTGGTGGGGGTGTGAGATTGATTGACCTGAGAGAGGGATCGTCCATGAGTGTCTTCGGCGATGTGATTGGCCGAGCCCATCTCAGCGGAGAAACTTCAAACACCAAAAACTGTCAAACACACCACCCGCAGAGAATGACGAACCGGAGAAACGTCGGCCAGAACGACCAAGGGGACTTGGCATTATTCCCAAAAGTCCTTCTCGAACGTCTAGGCGACCTTTATGCCATGGCCCATGGCTACCTTTGCTGAAACGGCTGGCGCTGTAGGATAGGACGACAGCTTTCGAGATGACGTAGACTGTAACGTCTGGTCCCAAGGTGGGAAGAACCGTCCGATATGCTCAGTCAGCCGTGCGAAGCAGCAGTGCGCCAGCACCCAAAGTTTGCGCGTGCAGATGACAGGTCCAGCGCCTGAGCCCAGCGAGGGCCCCAACTTCGGATGATATGGCGTCATGGCGTTGGTGGACTTCTATGCGGTCAGTTTCAGCAAGTGCCTAAGACGGCTGGCCTGCTCTGGGCAAGATCTGGGCAAGAGGAAATAGACACGGCGTGCGCGATATTCAACCATGATCGTTTCGACAAAGTGTCTATTCTAGGAACCTATGTATGTCGTAGTATAGCTACATTATAGACTATAGTGACCCCTCACTATCGTGAGCTATCCAGTGTGCCCATTACTACCGCAGGGGAGTGTGAAGAATGGAACCAAATCCAACGACCGCATTGCCCAATGTTCGCTTTGGGACAGATGTACAATCGTCAACGCCAAGTAAATACAATCCCAGGCCGTCCTTGGCCTCGACGCCGGTATATCCCTATTGCGAGTAAAACTCGCCAGCAGGACCGTGGTGCTGCTACATGTCAAAAAAAATGACGCAGAAAATTCAAGTCGTTATGTGGCACTCATCAACCCATCTACGCTCCGAAACTCATCCAGCCAAACGTGCCGGCCGCACATCCCAGAACCAGGAAGGTCAGGATGCCAGCGCCGGCCTTATCTGCCGTTGTGACTGGCGTTTCTGTGCCGAGTAGATTGTCCGAGTGACTACCGGCGTTGGGATCTCCCTTGGAGATACCACCAGTGGTGTTTGTTACTGGTGCCTTAACATTGCCGATGAGCAGAGATGATACGGCGCCGAGCACGTTCATCTGTTGACCCGCTCCCTTGGTGCCGTCGTATACGCCAGAGCTCCATTTGAAGCCACACGTCCGTTGATTGTCCTGCCCTGTGCACTGCTTGATAGCCGCTTCTGCTGACGTCTTGAGAACTGGAAGAATTTTGTCGGCAGTGTACGGTGCAATCTGCGTCGTGACTGACATCCATCGGGCGACGTAGCCCTTGAAACTCAGCATATCGGTTGTGCAGGTGTTGTGCTCCTCGCAAGCAATCTCGAATGCAATGTTGTTGGGGAAGAAAATTTTCAGAGTTCCTTCGATGAGGCCGTCCAGGCGTGTCTTCCACGCATCGGCGCCGTCCGTCTGGATGCAGGTCAACATCAAGCTCATCTAGGTTTACGGGTGGAAGCCACTTACGTAATTGTACATCATGGCAGCGCCGAGGATGAAAACGCCGTTGTTGTAAGAGAACTGAGCCTTGTTGATATCGGTACAATTCTGCTCAACGTGACCACCATCGTAAATGTTGTAGTCGGCATCGATGAAACCAACGGACGTCATCCAATCCCAGGTCTTCTCGGCCCAATCGGCATACGTTGTGTTCTTGGTGTACCGGGCTAGTCTGGCACCGATGTTGAAGAAACAGCCGTTTGCAATACCTATAAGCAGTCAGTATCAGGTTCGTAGGAGGGCTGAGCGTCAGCATTACTGTTCTTGTAGTTGTATCCGTTGTTAGAGAGAGGAATTTGCCAGCGAAGACCGCCTCCACATGTGTTGTCGTGTCTGTCGGGACTAGCCATGGTGTTGAAGACAGCTTGGGCGAGGGCCAGCCATTGGGCCTCATCCTCGGGCGGGTTAGGGAAGCCGTCCTCGGCGGCAGTCATGGCAGACATGCCCCAGAAACCTTGGTCATCGTTACCCAGCGAAGCAGTGTAATTAGGGGGCATGTAATCGCGGTCGGGTCCGACCTGGTGAAGCATGGCCTGCATGACAACGTCGTTGTAGGTAGAATCGCCAGTCAAGTGCCAGTAGTCGATCATGGTTCCCCACATGGCACCGGCTTCCCACCAGTAGTAATCACCGGCTGGCGGAGGACCAGGCAAGATACCGGGCGTGTGGCCAGTCAAGTTGCCATCGTAGAAGCTCATGAGGTCGTAGGCGAGACCTTTTGTGGTGGCCTTGATGTCATCTGAGCACGGCGTTAGTAAGGCGATAGACCAGGGCCTGTCGAAGGCTCGAGTTGAGGGATGAATGTACCGTCGGAAGCGATGGAGTATGCGGCGCTGGCGAAACCGCTCGAGACGAGAAGCGCTGTCGCAGCGCGGGCGACGGAAAAGAATTTCATGGTGGTTATCGTCGAGTGACGTTTGCGTTGATTTGAAGCGAGCGACTGGTTGAGAGGGGAGAAACGGGACGAGAAATTAAGAAAGAAAGTCAATTCCCTCGGTGCGGCGCGATCGGACTAGGGTCGTATCATGCGAGTATTTCGAAGTAGGTCGACCGAGAAGAATGGGCGAAGAGTCGTGAAAGTGCCAGCTGTCGAATATCGCTGCTGGAAGTCGTCGGTATGGGTTTCTGTAAACAGGCAAAACGAGGGTTGGAGGAGAAAGGAAAGGAGATGAACAGGGACGTTGGAGGGAGAAGGAAGACGAGGAGGGAGGGCCGGGAAAGAAGGAGTGACAGCGAAGGGGTGTGGTGTGGTGTGGTGTACACTGGCACTAGGTGACTAGGTACTCAAAAGTCAGGTAACTGGGACGCCGGGCGGGTGCAAGTGCGAGAAATGGAAAGAGGATGCCGGGATGGTGGCTGTACCGGGGACATGGAGGACGGGCAGTTATTTGGTGGTGGGCAAGGGTCGCGTCAAGTTACGGTACATTCACATTTATCTGCATGCCTGGGGAGTCAGTACGAGCCTACGAGGCACGGCAGCGGGAATAAATGGACAGCGCCAACTCAGGTTCTCGCTGTCGCAGGAATGCGGAATTGGAAAACAATGACCAACGCCTTTCTTCGTCCACCGATCGTCGAGCGTTGGCCGGTGGCTGCGCCGGCAATGTGACGTTCATCAGGTGTTGTGCATTCGTACATTGTCCTTCTGCTCTATCAACTCGTGCGCCAATGCTTCGGACAGCGACACCACAGGATTCGTAGCGTCAAGTTCCTGTGCTTCCGCGACGGCAATTCGTGCAGTGCCCAGGCGCGCCAAGTCGCCAGCGTGGAAAACAAGCAAATTCCAAGTTTTCCAGCGTCTTGTCCCGTGGTCTTGGCGATCCAGGGACAGGGCCCGAATGCCAAGAGACTGGGGGTATCCGTACGGCAGACCTCGCAGTAAGGTAGGTAGCGTATGGCGTCAAGGCCGAATCCATCTGTCTTGGCCGATGAGTGGGTTTATTGCTCATTGAAACTCCTTGACTCCCTATGTAAGTCTTTGGATATTGTTTGAGGCATTGTGGCACAATTCAGGACAGGTGAGTCTTCTCTATTCGGTTCTTCCTCGTATCCATACGATGCCTGGCAAGTACCGGTACTTGCAGCGAAATGGGCGGCGTTGCGAGAGGGAGCAGTGGCGCGCCGCCAACTTCCCTCCATGGCAGGACAACAAGCCCAAGGGGGAAAACCCCTGATTCAAGGTCACGAGTGAGATCACATGATGCTCTTTCTATCCAATTGACTTGGCCGTTTAGTGGTGGAGTACGCGGCCTTCCCTGTTTTGGCCCCCCTTTTCCTGAATGATGAATTGCGGGCCTCGTCTGGTCCTGAATAGGTCATAGGCGGATGGAAATAGAGTGCCTTTTTTGAGTTGCTGCTGTCTCCGTCATTGCCGTCGGGTCCCGTCTCCCAGCTAAACTAAGGTAGTGCTGCTTGCTCTATTCAATTTCTCTTACTCCTGCACACTGCAGCGCTTAGAGTAAAACAGCGTCGCCCCTCGAGTTCCCATCTCCTATCCAACGAACGGTCACGACCAATCCTTCTCAATGACACAAACCACCACTAAAACATCCTCCAGCCGCCAAGCCATTCAATCCAAAGAACAAGCTTTTCGTCAGCCAGATCGTCCTCTCCTTGGGTCCTTGGCTCTACTAGCTCCCTTGCTACACAGCACCGCCCCCCTCGTGTCGCCCATGTCCAAATGGCCGCCCTGCCGCGATCTACGCGCCTGGGCATTCCCTTGGCGAGAAATTGCAGAATACTGCGCTGGGACCATCCAATATGCCCTTTCCTTGGGGCCTCTTGATCAATATTCAAGGGAAAAAAGTTTGCTCATGATAAGCTGGCTAGCTGGCGACTCATGCTCCAGTCCATGCACACTTCTAAAATGCTCATTTTCCATCTGAGGTATGTTTCTCCTGCTGCCCTACATGCCTACTACATACAAACCTCGGACGGCGGCAAGCACACGGGGAATGAAGCCGTCATCTGCGCGCACCGACAGCGTGGCTTTGCAGCCGCTAATAAACATCCGATACTTTTACAGGCGAAAAGGGGCTGGGCTGGGCTGGCTACCTCGCCTGGGTGACTGACTTCACCTCGTCAAGCTGATCCCTCTTCAGCAACGGCTTGTGCCTTGAATAACCTGGTCTTCTAACAAATGAAAATCAGCATGGAACATTTCTTGCCAAGGCACCAAGCTGACCCAGTTTCGATGAACGCCCAGTAGGGCTGAACCTGTCTATCCCAATCAACTCAAGATCTCCCAGTCGCCAAGACTGGGCTACTATGCGCCCTCCCGTGGATCAAAAAGTCTTGGAGTCTTGGACGTCCTGTCACCGCTGGCATCCGACTGATGAAGAACCGACACGGACCTCTTGACAACGTCAAATCTCTAATTTGGGTCACCCAGAGCCGAGTCTGCACCGCCCCTCCGCACTCCACCACGAATCGGCAGCAGTCTTCCGTCCCCAGAGACCCTTGCTAAAGCTCCCCACGGAGACAATAACTGGAACGAGGGACGACTCTAGGAACCGTTCCCCGTGAATGTAACTCTATGCCATATATCTTGTCAAGAGGGTAACGTACCCAAGGCATCGCCTGGATTCGAGGTGTGGTTGGGATAATTCGGGTTGTCTGCAACCTCGAATGCAGCAGGGCTTTCGGTGTCAAGACTCGAGAAGACGACGATCAACAAACCTAGACAGCTCAGCAAGCTGCAAGCACAGAGGCACACCCTTCGCGTGCGGACCCGCTGCGCGATATGAGGCGGCTCGAACCGAACTTTTGCAACCAATAATAAGCCTTGTTGGCTAAGTGGTATAGCGTCTCACTAGTACTAGTGACATGAGAAGATCGGCGGTTCGATTCCGCCACGAGGCATACCTTTTGGCATTTCCGATTATTTTGCATCGTCGAAGACGATAACACATTGATTGATGGATTGATCACCTCTAATGAGGTCCCCGAAGCTTGCTGCCACCAATGGATGCGAACCAAGACGTGAGACCCATGCAAAGGTAGGTACTTGATGAAACTCGTGAAAACTTGGACATCGATGGTATCTATCTTGCTCGCTCTGGGCTGGAACATGTAAAGGACAAACGCCGTTAGTATTGCTACCTTGTATATCACGGCTCGAGACAAGTCCAGCTCGGAGTCTCATAGTTGCCTTCGAATTCCCTCGAGTATACCGAGCAGGTAATCGCTCTTAAGCCGCCGCGGCCTCATCCCCCTCCGCCTCATCCTCGATCTTGGTCTTGATCAACTCATACAAAATGTCCGTCCTCATCGTATACTTCGTCCCCTTGACAACATCATCACCAGAGTGATAGAGCCGACTGTGCTGAAAGATGAGCACCCGCCCCGCCTTGGGATCAACATCAACCTTCCTCTTCTCATCCCCAGACAAGAACGACGTCGCGCCACCAACCAGATCAGCACCGCTATCCTTACCCGCCTCGGCGACAGAGTCGTTGAGGTATAGATGAACGGTATAATGCGTCCGGAACACAGTCCCATCCTCCGCTTCTTCGCCATAGGGTCCATCGCAATGCGCTATACCAAGGTCAGCAATCCATCATAACAAGAAACCAAGGGGGAGGGACTACTGCGATGAACTCACGTCTGAAAAACTGCCCCTTTTGATACTTCAAAAACCTCATCCGCTTATTAAACCTCTTGAATACCCACCTCGTCTCAAACCCCTTCCCAGGTCTCCTCACCCCCTCCATCCCAGCCAACTGCGCTTCCAACCCAGGCGCAAGCCTACACCGCCCCCACAACCGATCGACAACCTCCTGCTGGTCCCAGATAATACGATCACTATTCCGGTACTCGGGCTCCAGAATCTCCCACCCGGGACCCATATTCACCATGGCGGGTCGCCACGGCTCGTCCTTGTCCGGGTCCAGCCCGCGGTCTGTGGCGGAGGCCTCGGCCATGCGGAGGAGCTGGGCGCATTCGGCGGGCGTGAGGACATTGTCTAGGACGACGGCATACAAGGGCCCGTTTTCGGGGAGGACGGTTTTGGACCAGTCTAGTTTTTGAAGGGTTACGGTGGGGGCGGAGGCCGGGAGGGGGACGGAGAGGAAGTCAGGCGGGATGGGGACCTCATTGGAGGTGTAGGATGTTCGTTGGGGTTTGGGGGCGGCGCGTTTGGGTTTGGGCTTCAGGGCCGCGGGGATGAGGTCTGAGATTGGCATTGTGTTGGATTTCCTTTTTTGGTAGAGGGAAACTGGTTCTTTGATGGTAGTTCTTTGGAAGACTTTGGGCAGTTTGGCTGTGGTAGTTGATGGATTGTGGTTGTTGTGGTGATCTGGGGTGCCGGCACTGCTGTTGAACGTCAATGGTTGCTCAATGTGTGGGTTCGGCTAACTACTTGAAGCTTAAAGACGCAATAGAAGACACATAAACCATCTCTTTTCTCCAAGAGATACTTCAGCAGGTATTTACAAAAGGACAGAAGAGCGACTGCCTAGCAGAGACGTCAAGGCGCAAGCGTCAGGCTTCGCCCCGTAAGTCGATGAGTCGACGGGACTAACAATGCGGCGGTGTACGGATTGGCCTCAGGTGGACAGACTTGAGATATGTGAGCACTTGTCCCCGTCAAACTAAGACACACCAGGCTGCTTTGTTTCGGGAAAATGCAGCATATAACAGACATGTCTGCAATCCTCAGCTCGGTCTCTCAAAAGGAATGCCTCGACATCTGCCTTGTAGACTCATGAATTGAGACGAAGACTGTTCAAGCGTGGATGGGTGCCTGCGACCGGATGTAAGTGCCTAGTGCGGGGTCAATCTCCCAAAGCTGATTGGCTCTATGGGATACATTCGATACTGTGTACCTTGCCGCCTTGAAGTCTTGAGGTCCCAAATACTTAGTGAAAGTTATAGGCTGCATGGATCTTCTTCTTGGAATTTGATATCCTATCATCGTCGCTGTGCACTTCCCTTTCCCCTCTTGGCCGGTAATTTCTGCTGCTTATAGCGCGGGCTATGTAAACTGAGCTGTGGCGGGGTGCCTAGTTGTGGCTGGGCCAGATGAGAAGTAAAGGATTCTCGCAGATGGGCATTGTCTATCGAGTACGAGCATTCCTCGTTAGCGTCTTCTTCAAAAATTTACATGAACGGGAAAAAGTATATGTAGAAAACAAGAAGCAAGATGTGTTGGGTCACCGAGAGCTACGTTCTTGTATGCGATTCTGTTGACCTATTTCAAAGTGCCTAACCTAAGGTGTGTCAGAATGCTCCCCGCACATCACCGGTTGATCACCTTCCTCGAGACCTGTCGCGCCATTCTCATTACCACGATAATACACCGCGTTCTAGATTGCATTTTCTTAGGTTGATCAGTGGTTGCCAACATGCAAAATGATACTTTTACAATGAATGGAAGGAAGTTTCCAGAGTTATGAGAATACACACCAATTTATATTCTTTGTTCTCCCCAAGGTCGACGAGTTGTAGACGATTATTGCCTGGAAGCTTTCACTATGATACGAAGAAGGCATGATGAGATTTTAAGATTATACTCACTGAGGCAAACTGACGGGAAAAAACCATGGGAACTGCTTTTGAAATAAAACTTCCTCCCACGATGTATATGCACAGAGTGTATCAAACGTACATACACGATGCTCATCGATCATGATATCAACAATGTCTCCTTTCCAAACCCAGCACTCTCAAACCGCCTCATTCCGTTCCCTCGTCCTCTCTCCCCCTTTACTCCCTTCAACCTCACCCCCTTCACCCAAACCAGTCCTCGTCTCAGTATGCATCTCACTCAACTCAACCTGCCTAATAAAAAACGTAGCAATAAACCCAACACTAGACATGACACAAAAGAAAATCCAAATCTTACTCAACCCATCCGTCACCGCAAACCTCACAACCCGCCTCTGTCCCTCACTCAACTCCTCCATAACTCCACGTGCCGCCGCCGCAATCGTCCCTCCCCTCCCAAACTTGGCAGCAACCTCGGCCGGCACGCCCGCCGCCAACAATCGGCCCTCATGCCGTCCCACGACGCTCTGGAAGATAACCTGCCCGACGACCACCCCGATCCCCAGCGCAATGTGCCTCACAAACGCAAACGTCGCCGTCCCCGTCGCCACGTCCGCCTGCCGCACCAGTGCCTGCAACGCGATAAGCAACGCCTGCAAGTTGGGCGAGATCCCCAGCGCCGCAAGCACTTGGAAGAGGATCAGCCGCGGCCAGTCCCGTCCCGCGGGCAACGTGACAAACAACCCAAATGCAATCGCCGTGAGCGCCATCGACACCCGCACAATCTCAACATACCGCCCCGTCTTCTTGATCGTTACCCCGACGCCAATCGTGCACACCGCCAGCGGCAGCGCCGTGGCGAGGAGCCACACGCCCGACTGGATCGGGCTGGCGCCGAGCACTGCCTGGAAGTAGAGCGGTAGGAAGAAGGCAATCGCCGCGAACCCGAGCCCGTGGCAGAAGTTAGCCACGTAGCAGAAGACAACCGACGCGTCGCGGAATAGTGAGGCCGGCATGAGCGGGTGCTTCGCGAAGCGCTCCACGAAGGCGAAGACGGCGTAGGTTGCGCAGCCGAAGATGATGAGGCAGATGACCGTGGGGGAGTTCCAGGGGTTCCGTAGCCCGCCAAACTGTAGCCCAAGGAGGAGCATCAACGTCGCGCCGGTGAAGGCGAGCGTACCCAGCCAGTCAATGGCCGCCAGGCCCTTGAGAAGCGGCGTCTTGGGCGTGTGTATGCGCAAAAAGAAGACGAGGATGAGCAGCGACGCGCCCGAGATGGGCAGGTTAATCCAAAAGCACCACCGCCACGACACATTCTCCGTCAGCCCGCCGCCGATGAGCGGTCCGATCCCGCTGGCGAGACCCCAAACCGCACCGACGGCGCCGAAATACGCACCCCTCTCCCGCGGGCTGAAGAGGTCCCCTACGGTGATGTTGACCAGCGCCATCAGCCCGCCGCCCCCGAGCCCCTGTACCGCTCTCCCCGCGACCAGCATCGTCAGCGTGCCCGCAAGCGCCGAGACGAGGCTGCCGACCATGAAGACGATGTTGGCGATGACGAGTATCGGTTTACGTCCGAAGATATCGCTGACTTTGCCCCAGAAGGGGACTGAGGCGGCGTTGGCGAGCAGGTAGCTCGCGCCGATCCAGGCGAATCCCGAGTCTGAGGATCCAATCTCCCGCGCGATGGTCGGTAGGGCGGTGGTGATGATGACAGCGTCGAGAGCCGCGAGGAAGACGGCCATGCAGAGTGCGAGCATCAGGATGACGGTTTGGGCTCGGGTGCGGTTCGGTGCAATCTTTGTGTCTGCAGTCGTGACGCTCCCTTCCACCTGGTCATCGTCGGTGCTCCTCCTTTTCTCCCGCACACCTCCTCCTACTTTGCCATCTTGGCTATCGTTGTCGCGCGGACTCCTGTCGTGAGAAGATCTCTCTACCTCACTCGCCATCGTGAACAGCGAGATACCTTGTTTGGTCGGGTACACGACATGCTGCCCTCAGCGAGCACCGCTTCCACAACCCACAATGCGGGACGGGCCTTAATATACATACTTTGAAATCCTCAGAGAAACACGGATGGAACACCATGCCTTGCGTTTTGTTGATTTGCCAAACTGTCCCAGTAGCTCTGCGGCACAGCCTTATGGCCCGCGCCGCCGCTGCCATTCACGAGAGCACATGTTCCTCGACATGAATAGGACCATGGCTTTCCCAGCGCGTCGGACTTTTGGCTGCTTCGGTACGACCCACATTGCCGCAATGCGAGGGCATTCGACGCAGGGTGACAGACAGAGAGAGGCCGTTGGAACAGATGTGGCTGCACGGCGCATGCGCGGGAGCCACACTTTCCTCATCCCTTGCCTTATCCTTCACCTTTGCAGTTAGAAAAAAAAGTTCCGGATCTTTGGTCCTGGTTGGTGGCTTTACGAGAACTACCGTGGGGGCCGTTCCCCTAGTGTCTCTTATTCGCCCGAACATCGCCAAGGCTTCACTTTTCCCATAAGAACCACCCCAAGAATGACGTGCAGCGAATAGCAAGACAGTCGACGCCACATCCGGAAAGTGCCAAAGGGGAAAGAGAGCAGAGGGTATCAAGCATAAGATTAGCAGAACCAACAGCCGAATAGCGAATGTGCCCGTCCCGTGGGTTGAATGTGCAAGGAAAAGAGAGCGAGAGACACCAAAACCCCTGCCGTGTCGGGCCGGGCTTGCGCCTCTTCGTTTTCGTGGGCTGATGCCGAGCGAATGAGAAAATTCCAACGTCAGCTTCGCATCAGCTCCCAACGCTACTTGGGTTGCTCCAAAGGATGGGAGGGTGGGTTCCATCACAGAGGAGAACAGTTCTCGCCCGTCCAGCCCGTTCACTCACCAATTTTCAGCGCAACGTTGAACGAGGCAGGGGAAAGCGCCCAATCCGATCGCGTAACCGGACACGACGTGAGCACTATATAGGCAGAATGCAAGGAACGGCGCGAAGCGCGAAAGCGGGAACAAGAAGGGGAGCCGATGGCGAAGGGGCTTGCCAGAGACTGGGCACCGTTTCCCGGCTCTTAGGCACGATTATGCGGATTACCGACTACAGAAGTTCAGACCGACTAGAGGTGACGAGTGCGAGTGTCTTTCGAACCTTTGTTGCAGGCGACGACCTGCGCCTTGCGTAACGATTCTTGCAGGATGCAGATGCAGTTCGTCGCCATCATCATCCGGGAAACCTGTGATCCGGAGGAGCATATGGCATGCGGTCAACGCTGTGGCGGGCGGGAACTCGTCTATCTTGTCTCCATCGAGCGTGGCTCCCTGAGAGTTGATTCTCTGATGAGCACCCACGGCTCAATCTACATGAATCTCGTATTCATGCCCCCAACTCGCCTGTTGCGACATCCCAAACGTTGACACGCGCGCAACATGTGGTGACTCGTGATGCTTAGTGGTGTAGGCTACACACGTTGTCAATCCGCGTGCGAGCCTCGTGGGCCTCTCTGTCCTACCCGTACATTCCTCAATGAGACCTTGACGGAACGGGCCATCAGTGGAAACTTGCATCGACGGCCTCGGGGACCGGGTCAAAGGGAAATGAGACTCAATTCTGTACTAAGAAAGAATGTCCAGCCCCCATCATTCCCTCCATCCTGCAACATCCGAACCTAGGAGCTCGAGGCTGAGGGAAATAAGCACTATATATCGTATATCAAATTCG